CAGCTGCTGTGAGTTTTTCATCTTCTGTCAACCCATTTTTTGCAAAATATTGCTCCACCTTATAATCCACTAGTGAGTATATTCTCTCTCAAAAATGGACATCTTCAACTTTCTCATCCTAAGATCGTCACCACCCCACTAGCTTCTTCCTCCTCCGATGTAGCGCGTGTTGTGATCCCTCCAAGTTTTCCTCTCCCCAAATTAGCTCTCTGATCTTTATCATTCCAATTTCTTCGCCAGCCATACCCTTAACATGCTCCCCTCCATGGAATTAGCTCCAAAGGTGCATCTCCTCTTCTTCTCCCAAAATCTATACTTCGTAATCCTCCCGTATCGTCCCTATATTAGGTTTTCCCTTACTAATCCGAGCAACGATGCCCATGCCTTTGATGATGATGTTTTGGCTTGAAACTCTAATAACATCATTTTCATCATCTCTTCCAGATTCAAAAATCTGCCCTCAATTGCTAAAATTGAACCTACTGTACTTCAACTTGAAACATTTTGCAAGCCATCCAAAGTGAAGAGAAGAAGAAGAACTTCGACGTCAACCCGAGGATCGATCACTCCGTGGAAGATTACATCGAGCGCATTCTGGATACTTTGGTGTAAGCCAATGCAGAACAATTAGAGATTGTTGAGTGGAGAATCGTTGCGATCCTTGACGAAGGTTCTCTACCCCTCCTACTCTATTATTTCTTTAGCCTAACTTTTCTTGTGAATTTGTTGCAGTCACGACGGACGACTCTACCTGCTTCTGCTAAGTTTAGTAAATGTAGGGATTTGAGTGTGCTTCTTTGCTTATTAATTCTCATTGTTAGACTAGGGGTTTTTATTGAAACTACTACTCTGGCATACGATGTTTTCTAATTTATTTTGAAAGTTTCAAATCTCTATAGCAAAACTCGAGGTTGGGAAGAATTAAAGCTCGAAAATAATTAAAGTGGGTAATTTTTGTTATTTTTATAGATATTACATGATTTTATTTTTATTTTATATAGTTTCTTGACTATTTATTCAATTACAAATGATTGAAGGTTATTATATATTTTATGGTACATGATTAAAGTTATCCATTAAAGTAACAAAGTAATATTAGTATAAAAATGTGTTATGTGAAATGTATATGTGGATTTAAATACATTGAAAGAAGAATAAAGCACAATTTGAAAATGTATACATATATTTTATTCAAAAGTACATAAAGACAACCATATGACTGAAATGGAACAAATGCAAACAATGAAAGGAAAGGGTATATCCATGCAAATTCTAAGAGTTCACCCCCGTATAGTTGGCTGGGGAAGAAACGTATCAGTGCACGTTAAATAAAAATAAAAAAAGAAATAGTAATGGTTGTACTCTTATAGGTGTATTTAGATGGTGCTCCTGTACTAATGGAAATGGAATAAATGTTAAACGGAAATGGAAAAATGAAACAGAATAAGAAGCAATTTATTTGAAAGATGAATTATAAAATCTACAGTATATGAAAGAAGATGCATATGTTAACTATATGTTTTATTTTATATGACAAACTATTGTATATGAAATAGTGATTACCCACTGAATTTACTTTGTAAATTCACTCTATTAAACTATTTTTTCAGGTAAGTCTCTTGATAAGTAGAAATTGCTAAAAGAGAGGATTTTGTGTACATAAGTGGCTCGAATGCTAACAGGTATAATCTGACTTGTACTCATGAGCAAAGGAATAATTTGTTAATGGCTCTTCAAAGTTTGTGGATTGTTAATTATTACTATTATGTGTAATTATATTAACCGTCCGACTATCAGTTCCCATCTCATTAGTTTGAGTATTCGAACTGGGTCATGATAAGCACACCTATATGCTCCAAGCAATGAGATGATAAATGGAAGGTCACCAATTTTTTTTAAATCACAACCTAATAAAAACTTATAAGTGTTACATGAAAAGCATCATAATAAGGAATCATTTAAATTGGGCAGAATTCATCTGTGAATGTCTTTCACAAAAAAGGCATATAACTAAAAGCAAAAAATTAATGCTTCGTTTGGAACAGCTTTCTTAATACTTTTTAAAGCAGCTTTCTAGTACAAAAAATTTTTGAATTAAAAAGTTGCTTTAGAAAGTAGTAAGAAAGCTATCCCAACAAAGCCTAAAACTACTAATATTAACTTCTCGATCAATGATATGAGAGATTCTACAAAATCTAATTCAATCCAATTGAGACTAAATTGGTCAAGCTAATTTGAGCTTGAAATTATCCAAGTTAAAGGAATTATCTATGTTCTAGAAATTTCTAAAACCTTAAAAAATATGCAAGTAAGATTCTACATTTAAAATAGCATCAAAATCAAGATAGAAAAGCCTTAGCTAGCAATATACTTGCTTTAGGATTTATGTGGATTATTAAGATTATTTTATTAGCATTTCAATTATTTTTCTTATTTAGGTGCATTAAATATAAGAATTAGAATAAATTTGTTATTAAATTGCATGAGCATTTTATCGCATCATATATTTAAATAAGAAATCATTTGATATTACATTTCTCAAGCTTTGATGAAACCATAATATTCATTCTTATTTAGTCAATTCTCTCACTTCCACCCACGCCTGATTAGGATTTAATGATTTATCTTGCATGGAAAATATCTCATCTTGCTTTTCTGTCAATCATCTCCATAGTTCTTTCATTATTCTTGTTTAGTTCAAAACAATGAAACCCTACTTGAATACTTCAAGAAATCTTGATCCAAGCATTCATGTAAGTCTCTTTCATTATGAAACCTTAGCCATCAAGGAAACACTAAACATAGTTTAATTCTTGGTTTCTCGAGTGAACTTCATGTCTTCCAAGAAATATTAGAGTTCTCAATAAAGCCTTTATTATCTACCTAGACCGCGAGATATTTGCATTGCAATTGCATATTTTTATGCAAGAGTACAGAATTTCCCATCGTTGTTTGGGATAGTAAGTATTGCATTATAAACCCTGTGGGGCCTGAATCCCATGAAACTTGAGTATCAACTCAAGCCAACATTGAGGAGAAGTTTGAAGAGGTTATACCCAAATTTTAAAATTTAATTGGTCAACTTCAAGATCACCATTAAAGCCCTTGCTACTAAATTCACACTAAAAGCACAATAACTACTAATTTCAATGGAACATGTAGTAGTCCTAGAACTCAAAGAGAGATTCAATATACATCTCCCAATGTTCTACATGTTATGTTTTTCATAAAAGAGTGAATTGATCATACAAGCGTGCGAAGGATGAATGTGCCCAAGGGACCATATGTGATTCTAGTTGGATAATTTTTTGAAAGTTAAAGGAGACAAGGGATGCTCATGAAGATGCCATCATGAACAAAAAGAGATTAGTAATTATCATTCTAGCTTAGGTCTTCACTGCGGGTGCATGATGCCTTTAAGTGAGTATTTTAGCAGACAGCTCATAAGGCGATATCAAGAGGCACATATTTGCAACTACTCAGGAAGGTCGGCATCTTGCAACATCATACCAACCAAACTATTGCGATGGCCACAACAGTAACCACCCCTCCAAATCACGTCTAGTTCAATATTGGGTGATCATAATTTGATGATCAACTGCATTTTGCAGATCCATCATTATCAAAATGCATCCAAACCAACCCCAATATCCAAAAAAACATAACATGGGCTTAACACATTGGATGGACAAATTACATCTCCTAGAAGACTCAAAATATCAATTATATTGATTATATAATTAGAGAAAATATCATTACAGAAGTGTTCACCCTAATTTCTTTTCGACATTATGTGCAATAGATTCAATTTTGCAGAAACAAATGACATAAAGGGGGTAGACATAATCCAGGAAGCTCTTCAAACTCCCAATTCAATACAATTATGATTGAATTTGTCATAAGACAATTAGGTTTAAAATTATCAAATTTAAAAGGAGAATATTTATGTTCTAAATAAAGATAAGGCTCGATCATTGTAAAATGCATCAAAATCAAGACCAAAGAGCCTTGATCTGCCACACAATTGTTTTGTGTTTATTTAAATTATTCAGGATAATTCTAGATTATTTTATTAGCATTTAAATTATTGTTGTTAGATACATTGAATACAAGAAATAAATTAAATTTGTTAATCATTTGAAGTAGGATTTGTGATGCATCCTACATTTCTAAATAGGATTTCATTAGGTTTTATTTTTAAGCTTCAAAGCATAATAGTACTCAATTTTCATTGGTCAATCACTTATTTATCTTTCCTACCTATTTTCAGTTATCACAACAAGAGCCAAAAACTCAATCACTATCTTATTTGTGACTTGGACACTCTCTCTCTCTCTCTCGTCCCCTCTCCCTCTCCCTACAAGAGGAAATATAGAATTATGATTAGGGCTTAGGGATTCATCTTGCATAGCAAACATCTCACCTTGCTCTTCTTTCAACCATCTCCATAGTTCTTGCATGCTTCCTAATTTGGGAGAAACCTTAAATCGTCATCAAGGAAACCCTAACCTGTTTGATTCTTAATTTTTTGCATAAATCACAAGGCTTCAAATAAACGCTCAAGTTCACAATAAAGCCTTCATTATCCTACCACTATCATAATTCATCAACATCTCAATTCTATATTTGGTATCACTCATATAATTTCAGATCAGAAAGTATCAGAGCAGTCATATTCTAAATCAATATGAGTATTTACACATTCATTTCAATAATTCTCTCGTAAGCACTCATCATAAATTAATAAATCAATAAATTCTCACATTAGAACCCCCTAACCCACTACAACAAAGTAAGGCGCAACCTATTAAAAAAAAGGTTTATGTAAGTGATAAATAATCGGAAAAAAATAATAATTCGCTTAAGACCACCATCTCACTATTTTGTCAATATAAAAAATTTAATAAATTATAATGATTCATGATAAAGAAATAAAGGCTGAATTCATTTACTGAGGAATGATTGAAAGCTATAACCGTGATGTATCAGTAAATCCTTACTGCATGGGGGTGATTGTGAACAATTTCAACAGCCTTCTCATTACTCAGATGTTCCCATAAGCCATCCGATGCAAATATTAAAAAAGAATCACTTGTTTGAATAGAATGGCATAAAATGGCTGGATTTGCAGTCATGATTGGCATCTTCAGTGGTTCAGAAATTCTGAACTTCTCGTTGATTGGTTCCCTGTTATACTGTGCAAATTTCATGTATGCATCACCAATAGACCTAGAAACCTGCATAGTAAACCACAAAAGCATCAACAAGAGGGCTATAACTGCTAAATGAGAAAACATCTTTAGGAAAGAGTAAGAAAATATGAATCATCAGAAGAGAAATAAATGGGTATGGCAGTAGACATCCATTTAAAATAAAGCACTAATCTGGTCAATGAAAACAATCATTTGCCAAAGTAATCATAATCCCAAGGACCGTGCTAAGCTATGTTACAGCCTGCATCATTTCACAAAAACTTCTGTTGCCGTTTTATGAAATGAATTAGCAATAGCATGGCGCTAGTAAGAAAGTTTTGCGAGTAGAAATGCTTCAAGACAAAGGCTAAAGACTAAAGGAAGAAAATCATTTTATTGAGAGGATGGTGATATTATGATTTTGCAACGAATATCAACATTAATTTTAGCTCCATGGAATTATGTTCATGCAAGAAGAAAAGTAAATCCAAGATACAAAAACTTGAAGTAGATTTTCATTTTCTCCTGGATGCATGCTGCCTTAATGATTGCCAGGCAAATTGCTCCTTTTGCATTCCCAGCCAAGCAATTTTAGGGCTTCTCATTTTTACTGCTCTGGCTCGAAGGGATCTCTCCTAGCAAATTGGCTCTAGCTCTCTATTTTGGTGCTCTTTGTGGACTTTGTGAATCTCTAGCTTTGAATAATTGGCACATATCTCCAGATTATTAGCTCAATTTCTTTCCTTCTCCGTGATTCTAGTATTCTATGTACCCTAGTGTCCGTAGCTTCTAGGCAATCCATTCTCTGCTGCCTACAAGGTGTGGTTCAGTGGATGGGTTGTAATTTTAATTAGTGGTTACTCCAAGAATCCTGGGCGAGTCACTCATTTTGCTTTCACGGATATTATTTTCCACTATCAGGCCACTTCTGGGCTTCTCATCTTGTTGCTTTCCATCAAAGGGATCTCTTCTAACAATGGAAATCCTAAATTTTGGTGCTCTTTATAGGTGTTCTGGATATCTAGCTTGAATTACGGGTGCAAATGAGTCGAGCCGAGTTCGAGTCAGGAGGTGTTCGAGTCGAGCTCAACTGTTAAATACCGAGCTCGAGCTCGAACTCAAGTCAAGCTAAAAAATCATGCTCGAGCTCGACTCATTCCACCGTAAACAGGTTTGAGCCACTCGCCAAGCCTCCGGTGTGGTCAGGTTCTCCTTCCAACACGCACAATCCTCGAAAATTAATTCTCGGCTTTAATTCTCCTTACAACTGCACCGAAGGAAGAGAGAGAGAGAGAGAGAGAGACGATTGAGATTTCAGATTTAGGCAGGATTTGAGAACTCGAAATGAGCATTGGATTTTGAAATTTTAACAAGCAAAAATTTAAAATATACATATGAAATTATTATTAATTTTTTTTATATATTTAAATTTAATAATTTCGAACCGGCTCGCAAGTCAAATAAACGAGGTGGAGTTTGAGCTTGAGCTCGAGCTCGTGGCTCGATAAGCTCAGCTTGCGAGCTCATAAACAAGTCGAGCTCGAGCCGGCTCAGCTCACTTACACCCCTAGCTTGAACAACTGACTCATATTTCAAACTTTACTTCCTTCTCCATGGCCCTAGCATTTAATGTACATTTAGCTTCTTCAACTTTAGGGCACTCCCTTCTTTACTAAATACAAGGTTTGACTCTGCATGCATGTTGTAGCGCTAATCAGTTCAAACACAATCCTAGCCAACGGAGAAAGATAATCAAATAAGATAGCATACTTCTAAAGGATACAATGCCACATTCAATGCCAATACCTATAATGAAACCGAAGGAACCATGGTGACGATCAAAGATAGCAAGATCGATACTATCTATACAAAAACAATTATACTATCTATACAAAAACAACTATATAAGAAATAAGAGCTGCAATAAGTGGAAACACACATATAGAAACCTAGCATCAGAGATTAGGCTACATGAGCAAGAAAGACAAAGATCCTCCACTCCAAAAATAAACTCTCAAATATGAAATTGATGCAAGCAAAAATTTGGGGCTTTCCTAGGATAAGAAAATACATAAAATACTCAAAAAGTCACTTTTATAATTTAAAAACGACACTTACAACTTTGGCTGGCAAACGACACATAAACAAACATAAAAATATACCTAAAGTTGCTTTTCCTTTGCTTGAGAAGAAGGATACAAGTGGAATGGTACTTGCGGAGAGGAAGAGGAAGCAAGAAGTCCAAGACGAAGATAGGAGAAGCTCGCAAGCCTTCCCAACTAGTAGAAGAAGAAGAAGAAGAAGAAGAGGAGGAGAAACAAACTCGCAACCTTTTCCAAAAACCCTCAGGTTGTATCCAAAAATACCATTTTTTTATCATTCTTTTATTCACCAAGCATCACATATATATAGGACTTGAGAGGGCAGCCAAATAGCCACCATAATCATTAATTAAGCCCATTAAAATGGGGGATATAGAAGGGCAAAAGACAACACAAACAATAGCTGAAAAGGCACCCAAAATATAGCCAAATTCATCCCAATCTAGCTTACAAGGGGCGGAACCAGCAGAAACCAAGGAGGCCAGGAAAAAAAGGGGCGGAACCCCAACAACCTTTTCATGGGAACAGCAACTGCCCAAGGCCCCAAACCGAGAACAGCAAGCAGCCCAAGGCCCCAAACCGAGAACAGCAAGCAACCCAAGGTCAAGAAGAAATTCAAAATGATTTGACCCCCCCCCCCCACCTTGCCTACATCAATTTTCCTCCGGTTGAAAGAATTCATCTCCCAATGAGGCTTGAGTTTGTTTTGAATCTTGTCCTGAGGCTTCCGAAGGCTGATTGTATGGACTATGAATCATGACTAAAAAAAACTTACATGACACCAAGACTCATACGACAACTTGCTCTGATACCAATTTGACGCAAGCAAAAATTTGGGAAAAGCCCCAAATTTTTGCAAAGAGAAAAACTCTTCCTAGGATAAGAATATACAGAAAATACTCAAAAAGCCACTTTTATAATTTAAAAACGACACTTACAACTTTGACTTACAAACGACACATTAACAAACATAAAAATACACCTAAAGTTGCTTTTCCTTTGCTTGAGAAGAAGGATACAAGTGGAATGGTACTTGCGGAGAGGAGGCAAGAAGTCCAAGATGAAGATAGGAGAAGCTCGCAAGCCTTCCCTAATAGAAGAAGAAGAAGAGGAACAAGCTCGCAAGCTTTTCCAAAAACCCTCAGGTTTTATCCAAAAATACCATTTTTTTATCATTCTTTTATTCACCAAACATCACATAGATATAGGACTTGAGAGGGCAGCCAAACATACACCATAATCATTAATTAAGCTCATTAAAATGGGGGATATAGAAGGCCAAAAGACACCACAAATAGCAGCTGAAAAGACACCCAAAATATCAGCCAAATTCAACCCAATCTAGCTTACAATAAGCGGAACCAGCATAAACCGAGGAGGCCAGGAAAAAGGGGGCGGAACCCCAATAGCCTTTTCATGGGAACAGCAACAGCCAAGGCCCCAAACCGAGAACAGCAAGCAGCCCAAGGCCCAAAACCGAGAACAGCAAGCAGCCCAAGGTCAAGAAGAAATTCAAGATGATTTGACCCCCCCCCCCCTTAACTTTTATAATTTAAAAACGACACTTACAACTTTGACTTACAAACGACACATAAACAAACATAAAAATACACCTAAAGTTGCTTTTCCTTTGTTTGAGAAGAAGGATACAAGTGGAATGGTACTTGCGGAGAGGAGGCAAGAAGTCCAAAACGAAGATAGGAGAAGCTCGCAAGCCTTCCCAAGTAGTAGAAGAAGAAGAAGAGGAACAAGCTAGCAAACTTTTCCAAAAACCCTCAGGTTTTATCCAAAAATACCATTTTTTATCATTCTTTTATTCACCAAACATCACATATATATAGGACTTGAGATGGCAACCAAACAGTCACCATAATCATTAATTAAGCCCATTAAAATGGGGGATATAGAAGGTCAAAAGACACCACAAACAGCAGCTGAAAAGGCACCCAAAATATCATCCACATTCATCCCAATCTAGCTTACAAGGGGAGGAACCAGCAGAAACCGAGGAGACCAGGAAAAAGGGGGCAGAACCCCAACAGCCTTTTCACGGGAATAGCAATAGCCAAGGCCCCAAAATGAGAACATCAAGCAGCCTAAGGCCCCAAACCGAGAATAGCAAGCAGCCCAAGGCCCCAAAACGAGAACAGCAAGCAGCCCAAAGTCAAGAAGAAATTCAAGATGATTTGATCCCCCCCCTGCCTACATCAGAAATTTTTTGAATCTAATTTTTTTTAAGATTGCATTTCAAGAAAGCAAAGAAGGGAGATCCTCTAAGACTAGAGGAGAACTAAAAAAAACAAAAAATTGGTTCACATTATACATGAGGGTCATTTCTTGTAATATCCCTAGGAGACTTCATGTACCTTATCACTTTCACAGACAATTGCACCAAGAAGGTACAAGTTACTTCACTAAAAACAAATGTGTTTATTATATTGTGAAGTGGAGAAGTTAGATTGAAAATAAGTTGGTGCCAAAATCAATGTGTCAAAATAAAAAAAAATTGCAGTATAACATTGTGAAGAGCATGATGGCGTAGAGTTTAGAAACTATCATGTTATAAATGGGATATGAATGAAGAAAATGGCCTTAGCAACTTCTTGAAGAAATGGAGCAGTCGAAATGAGTAACAAAACTCTAAATGGAAAGACCAATGAGTATGAGGCTGCATGTAGGGCTACCAAAAACTTTCTAGGACATGAACTTAAATGTTAGGAAGAAGCTGTATGGGTTAACAATTCACCGAAGTAAAAACTAACAATAAATAAAGCAACAGGATTTTCTTTAACAAAACAACACATGGACATTAAATAAGCTACTGAAAGATAAGAAAGTAATAAAACATAAATGGATCTAAAAATTTTTGGATTAGGGGTGTCAATTTTTAGCACGACCAGAAAACCTGACCAGAACCCGACCCAAAAAAATCCGGATTCGGGA